TAGAAAGAATCGATCTCACCATGAAGCTGTGTCTTCGGGGAGGAGTAATGATACCAGACCATACACATTTGTTGAGACACCTATTGGCAAACTAACATAAATGTGCTCACACAGGTGGGGCATATGATAATAATGTGAATCATCAGCTTAATGATGATGGAGATGATGCTGATGATAATGATACAATCATAACCATATCCGTATTGATAATGGTCATGATAATGAAAAGGAAATTAATTTTTGATTACTATCCTATAATAATTATAATAATAGTAACATAAAATTCTATTAAGCTTTAACATAGACATGCAAAGTGCATATTCACCACACTAAAAATTAGGCCCTATATTATGCGCTTTGCAATTCATCATTACCCCAGCAAACTTAATAACATTCTTAAACATTCTCAACTTTCTGGGGAAAATTTAGTGCGAGAAGTTATTTTTCAGGCATTCAAACAATAACTTTCATATAAGATAATATTATTTTAGCCACAAACTTATATTTCCCCCTACTTTTCTTTGTATGTTATTCTCTATCAACACATCTAATCTTCAGCGCTATTACCACTGTATTGCGTTGCAAGTGCTGTAAACCTTTTACTCAAACTACCTTTTAAAAAACTGAAACGTAAGAGGTGTTAGAGAAACGAAACATGCAGACATCACAACGTTAGGCCAAGTTAAAATTTTGGTCGTTTTAAAAAATATACATTGTATATATATAATTAAGATGTTCGTGTTGATCCTAAGTTATCTGCTACAAAAGGTCCCGTTCCGTAATCGCTAATTCTTTCATTAGCCTTGTATTTCTAGTTGCATACTGAAGTCAAATTTCCAAACAGCCATGTTTTCCGGAAGTTTTGTGAATATTCAACGTTGGGGCGCTACGGGTATAAGGTTCTATGAACTAAACAGAGAGGTGTGGCTTGTTCCGCTGTATACAGCGCTCACTCACTCACTCACTCACTCACTCTCTCACTCGCTCACTCTCTCGTTACTCACTGGCTCGTCGGTGGATCGGTCAGCGCGTGCGAGGATTGCGAGAAAGTATGCGCGTGTACATTTCCTGGCAGTGAGTTAAACATAAGTGTCGATAGCCTCGAGAAGGATGTGAGCAAATTCTGTTATATCAGGTGAAAGAGGCGTCATCTAGAGAGTGTTTTTGTTGTGTATAGTAAGTACACTGTATACCGAGCGCGCCTGGAATAATTATCGCCAGCATTTCGTGCGTATGTGAGCGTGTTTGCAGCGGAATATGTGTGAGCACCTGTGCCTTCCTGTTTCCGATTTCTTTTTTCTTTCTCCATCATTAACCAAACGAAACCCATAATAGAAGAGTGGTTAACGTCACTTTTTTGCGTGTTAAAAGATTACATTTTTTCTCAGAGGGGATACTCTGTATTTAGGGGCTTTTTAAAGAAAAGCATTATTGTTTGGTTATTCATAGATTTGATTTTTCAACCGTTTTCTTTCTGAAACTTACAAAGGACGGTGTTTACTATGAAGTGTGAGAGGAGGTAATTCTGATTTGTGCAGTATGGTAGTTTGAAATGTGCCGTAATTGTGCTCTGCCTTTGGTCTACAGCTGATCGCACATGTTAATGTATGTGTCCGCTACGTCCTTGAAGAGTTTCAGTTCAAAACTCACTGAAATTTGGTAACTTCTCCAATGTTGTACCTTTTTTAAAGAAGGAGTGTCTAATTTATAACGAAGTCCATTCATTGCTCGGTTGGGCAGTTGTTGTTTTTTAGAGTAAGCTATGGAACCTGGTGAACATGCTAAAGGTGTGCTCAGTTTCTGGTCAGGTAGGCCGTGTGGGATCAAAATAGATTAGATTAGATCGGTTGGAAAGTCAGACAGTAGATCTGTGTTCTCTGATCTTCGGAAATGATATGTAAGGTTCTTTCCCTGATGGAGAATAGCCTCTAATGTATGAATCTGTTGTTTGTTTTGTTCTACGTAGTGCTAACCTGTGGTTTCCCAATCGATCCCCGCGATATTATTGCCCTTTGAAATCGGGTAATTGTGACTTGAGATGAAAAGAAACACCGAAATATGCCTTATCCCCATTCCCCCAAGCAC